TCCCTGTGGAGATATAAACAATACCCTCCCCTTGGGTGGGTTAGTGCCCTGTGCCCCCACTGCCCATAAAGCTCTTATCCACATATGAGTGTATATGAATTTGTTTCTTTGGCCTACTTGAACTAAAACAGCTTCACTTTTATCTCTCGAACCACTGTCCTTGTGCTTGTCAGTCCAGTGCCGCACCAGGCTCCTTAGCTGTCATATAGCAGACACTCAATTATGATTCTGATTACGAAGCTCACACCCAAGATATTTCTCCCCCCAGTTCTTTGAGCCTGCTTGCTGGAAGTGATGTACTCTGTACTGTCTTCCATGCCCCCGCCCCCATCTCATTAGTGAAAGATTTCCCGTGTGTGAGTGAGTCTTCTGGGAAGCACAGTAGGTCTTCTGGCTGTAATTTTCATCCTTTGTCTTCATCCTTTGGGGCAGGTTGCATTTGGGAGAGCAGAGTGGATATGTAGTACTAACACTGGCTACTAGATGGCAACACAGATCTGAGAAAGAAGCTCAGAAAGCCCCAAGCAGGAGGGCTGGGTAAATCTCTAGATTTCACCATCTTCCTTCCCACAAGGGACAGGTGTGGTTCTAAGCTCAGCTCTCCCAGTGACCGGCTGTGTGACTCTCTGTGGGCAAAAGGCTCTAAGTCAGTGGTTCTCAACCTTCCTAATGCAGCGACCCTTTAAGATAGTTCCTCATGTGGTGGTGACCTCCCTCAACCATAAAATGATTTTTGTTGCTACTTCATCCCTGTCATTTTGCTACTGTTATGAATTGGGCGACCCCTATGACAGGGTCGTTCGACACCCAAAGGGGTTGCGACCCACAGGTTGAGAGCTGCTCTGTATCTTGGTCTCCGCATGCACACAGTGGGAAGGATGCTAAGGCACATCTCAGAAGGATGCTGTGAGCACTACAGAAGTTGTCCCTGGGCGAGGTCCTCTGAACGCGAGGATGGGGAGCTCCACCATTGGAGCACCTTCTGGGGAGAAATGTGATAGCTTTTGTCACCTCCTTGCCTCGTCCTACAATGTTGGGAGTCTTGGGGGTGGGGGAGGGCACTCTGGACACCTCCCCTTCATCACCTGTAACACAGGAAGAATGCAGTTATCCGGGTCACAGAGTGGATTCGACCAGGCAGAGGTTCAAAGCCACTGTGAGGGAGAAAGAGGAGGCTGTCTGCTCTCTTAAAGATCGTGATCTCAGGCAAGGGGACGGGGCAGGCAGTTCTGGCCTGACCTATCAGGTAGCTGTGCGGTGGAGTTGACTCGGGACAGTGGGTCTGGTTGGCCCTGCAGCACAGCCACCAAGAAGACGGACGAGATAATCCACGCGCAGCAGTTTGCGCAGTGTCTGGAAAGAAGTGGCAGCCCGCCCTACATGGGGACTCTGGGTGGCTCCTTGGTGCTTCCGGGGCCTCGGTACTCCTGCCTCTCTTCCCATGCCCATTTTAGACCACTTTCCTCGTCCCATCAGCACCCACAGGATGTTGATCTCTCGGGCAGCCCTCTCTCCAGTCGACTGTCCCCTCAAGAAACCAAACCACACCACACGACTGGCACCGAGTCCATTCTGACTCATCATGACCCTGTGGGGCAGAGGACAACGGGTGGGCTCAGACCAATGACCTTGGGGCCAGCGCTCAGTGACCACCATTCTCCTGTAAGTACCTCCAACAGCCCCATCTTGGAGCTTTTCTCTGTTCCCCGCCTTACCCATCCACAAATTGCGATCTTCTCCTGCTCAAAAACCTTCTATGGCTCCTCGTTGCCATTGGCATAGACTCCAAGCTTGATAGCATGGCCTGTGAGGCACCTGATAACATGACTCGACCTCCCTCCCCGGCCTCCTTCCTGCCAATCAGATCTGATAGGACAGCCACATCCATATTACTTTAGCTCCTCCAATGACATCACGTTCCCTTTTGCCTCTAGGCCTCTGCACCATGTGTTCCCTCTTCTCCGAACGCGCTCCCCTCTCTCCTTTACCTGCCGGCCCTTCTTTCCCTGGCCAGCGCCTCCTCCTTGTGCAGGGACTTCCTTTGGGAAGCCTTTCCTGACCTTCAACGTGTTTGTTCTCCCTCACTTTCTTCCCAGGTGGCAGCTTCTTAGACTACTTTTAATCCGGCACCCTGGCATCGATTCTCTGCAGCTCTTGCTGGGTATCATTGAGCTACTGCCCGCTCATCACGACCCCATGGGCAACCAAGCACTCCCCAGCCCTAGGCCACCCTCAGTCATTACTATGTTCCAGGCCATTGTTGCAGCCACGATGTCAATCCATCTCCTGGAGGATCTTCCTCTTTTTTTCTGAACCTCTACTTTACCAAGCATGGTGGGCTGTCCTAGGAACTGGTCTCTCCTGATGATATGTCTAAAGTACATGGGACAGGACAACAGTGTCCCACCCTTATGAGGAACATTCTGGCTGTAATGCTTCCCAAACAGACTTGTGTCTTCTCCTGGCAGCCCATTCCCTATTCTTTGTCACTGCCGTGACTCAAAGGTACGCATTCTTCTTTGACATTCCTCATTCGCGGCCAAACTTCCACATGCATGCCAGGCAGTCGCCGGTACCTTGTCTCGAGGGAGGCCCACATCCGTCCTCAAGCTCACCTCTGTGCTCCCCTTTTTCTCTGCTCCCTCTCGTCCATATTCGTGTTTAAAATGGAGACGTTGAGGCTCTCTGGCATTCCCAGTCCTCTGAGAGAGTGGACGCACACCTACTCCCCAAATGGCTTGTTAGGTATCATAGCCAACACAGAGTCCTGTGTGAGACGATGCAGCCCCGCCCTCCCCATCGTATTTTGCTGACCTGCTTGCCTCCGTGTCAGCGGTATGAGGGCAGGGACCTTGTCTACTGTGGTCAGTGTCATACACCTCACAGCTAAAACTAGGTTGGTGCATAGTGCGCTCTGAATAAATACTCACTGAATGAATGGATGGGTAGGTGAAAGGATGGGTAAGATGTCTCTTAGGCTGAATAATCATTATAATTCTATACCCCTGCCCAGTGGACTTGGAGAAATGTTCGAGGCCCAGCCCTTGTGAGTGCTTTTGTAACCTGAGCCTGGCAGAGACTCAAGTCCAGGTCTTAGCTCTGTGTGGCTATTGCTTAGAGATGCAATGTCTGCAGCTCCTCTAACTTAGAGTGAGCATAGAGGTGGCCACGAGACCCAGGTGACCACAGAGGTTAAAAAGTCCACACGCACTTTGCAGTGTCGGGAAAATATGCTTTCTGTGCAATCAAGAGCACCTGAACACACAGCAGGATTCATAAGGTTTGGATTTTTTCTTGCACAACATTGGAACTTTCTAGAGAACGTTCCCATCCATCCATTTACCTGCCCGGCTATCTACCCATCTGTCCACTCATGTATCACCCACTCATCCTCACCTAAGGTGGTAGTTACACAATCTGGTGCCAACTTGAGACTATTAAGAGTGAAGGGGTACAATTCTACCTTACAAATCTGGCTGGACCAGAGCATGTACTGGTACAGATAGATAGGAACTAGAAACACAGGAATCCAGGACGTTTCCCTTCAGGATCAGTGGTGAGAGTGGCAATACCGGGAGGGTGGAAGGAGGGTGGGGTAGAGAGGGGGAACTGATTACAAGGATCTACATGTGACTTCCTCCATGGGGGATAGACAACAGAAAATTGGGTGAAGGGAGACGTCCGACAGTGTAAGATATGACAAAATAATAATTTATAAATTATCAAGGGTTCATGAGGGAGGGGAGAGTGGGAAGGGAGGGGAAAAATGAGGAGCTGATACCAAGGGCTCAAGCAGAAAGCAAATGTTTTGAGAATGATGATGGCAACAAATGTACACATGTGCTTGACATGATGGATGCATGGATTGTGATAAGAGTAGTACGTTCCCCCAATAAAATGATTAGAAAAAAAAAGAGTGAAGGGGTGGAGTTTAACCTGCCAATCAGGTTGCTGCTTGATGACCTCATTTACAGGCACTATGGAGATAAATAGTTTGCTGGAGGTGGGACACACACACACTCTGCTTGGTATTCCCGATGAGAAGACACATGGAGCTATGCTAGAGGCCTGGAGCTGGAGGAGCCACGTGGAGACCCACGCTAGTGCTGAGATGTTTCCACCGCCACTGGATCCACAAGACTTTCCACCCACTGGCCTGGGATCTTCCTGCATTTGGCATCATTGCATGTGTTGTGTGAGTCTGAAGAGAAATTTATAGATTGGTATTGGACATACAGGCTAATATCGGACTTATGGATTTGATCTGGACTGGGCTGGGAACTTTTCTCAATAATAAGCACAATTCAATTGCACTTGTATATAAAGCTCTTTCTTATCCACATATGAGTGCAGTGAATTTGTTTCTCTAGTCAACCCGGACTAACACACTTAACATCTGTCCACCTGCCCAGGACCACACTGTAATGCAATGCTCTTAACCAAATTACCATCAGATCTAAATGTAGCTGTGCAGGCAAAGCACGCAGCCCTGGGGCCGCTAACATTACAGAAACTCACCAAATGGAAACTCTTTATTATTAAGATCTGAAAAACCACACCCAGAAGCCAGGTGTCTGATGACCCTCATGGATCAGGAGGGCCCATGGGAGTAACCAATAAGCAGCAGCCAAGGAGCCAGGTGGAAGGGATTGTAGGTGAGTGCCCCTCCTGGGGACAGCTGGTGAGCCTGGGAGGCGGTTATGCAGGGGCGCTGTGGGAGCGGATGGGCATGTTGAGGCGGGTCTGCAGCCAGGTGATATAGTCCTGTTGAGGCATATGAATGATGTGCTCTCGGACAAACTGCAGGGTAGAGACAGTGGCATTGCCCTCAGACCCCGGTCTGAAAGGTAAGACTCTCCCCCAGATACAGAGGCTTGGTGAGTAACACTGGTCATCCCCCCCCTCCCCCAGCCCCCGAACACACACACATCCTAATTGCCCTCCAGCAGTCCTCAGGCTGGCATACCATGCTGGGAACATTCACTGAGAAAAATGAAAACAAAACAAAACAAAATACCCCAAACCCAAAGTCGCTGTCACTGCATTTGTTCTGAGTCACGTCATCCCTAAAGGACAGGGTAGAGCTGCCCCCTTGGGTTTCTGAGACGGTGACTCTTTACAGGAGTAGAGAGCCACACCTTTCTCCCTAAGAGCAGCTGGGGATTTCAAACCACTAACCTTGGGGTTAGTAGTGCCACCTGTAACTCACTGTGCCCAAAGGATCCCCCATTCTAGAGCATTGTATGCTTTTTCATCTTACTGTGGACCCTGGGACGTTTGGTGAGGCAGGAAAAACCCAACCATGTGAAATGTACATCTTTCTCAATCCTTCGTACCTTTATGTAAACAGCCAGCATTTCCCACAACCTTTTGGCTTACAGAGAGCTCTTTGAGAATGCCTAACAGTGACGACTTGTTCCTAGACACGTGTTGTGTAAGAAGGGGACTAGAGGGTGTTTCCCACAGTCTAAACAAAGGAGCCTGCTCCCCTCCCCCCTGCCCCGCCCTCCCGCTTATCAGAAGTTCTGTGAGGTTCTCACTAGGGAGGAGGAGAGTGTGCTAACTTCTGGTGGGAGCCTCTAAAGCCCCTTCTCTTACCCACTCTGGTGGCCTTCTCTGTGCTTGTTATTACTAGTTTGGGATAGTCTTTCTTGAAAGAGCTTCACATGGTGTGGGAAGTGGAGTCTGAACGTCTACATTTGTCCATGGGTCATTCTGTCAAACAGCCCCCGACTGCCATCATTCTTGATCTTGCACTCAACACACACCACCACCACCACCACCACCCCAGGTCAGCCCTTGGAAAGGCCAACCTAATAGGACAGCCCAGGAAGAGAGAGACTTCCACCCTCTGAGACTAATAGACTTTGAAAGAGTCCTACGAGGCTCACGTCACCTGAGAGAAATGCCAACATGACTCCTTTCATAATTGCTAACACCTTAGTGTGGAGTGCTTTTCCCCTTGAGGCTTGCTTTGGACCCTTGATCAGAAAAGATGCCAGGGAAGGACTTCAGGAAGAGGGCCAGTGGAAATGAGGGAGAAGCACAGGAAGATGGATGGACACAGCCTGAAGCCGGTGCAGGGCGGGGCAGCGTTTCCCTTCTGCTGTGCTGTCCGTTGTCAGAGTCAGAGCTGAGTCAGTGGAGCGGACCACAACCAGCCAACAGAGCACCCACACTTAGAGTTGGTGGCGATGGGGAGAGCCTGGTAACTGGGCTCCGCTGTTGCCAGAGAGACCTTGCCACCTCTGCAGGGCTCTTGGGAACTCACACCTCCTTGCTCTCTTCCTCCCCAACCCACTGAGCCCCCCAGAGGGGTTCCACTCCTTGGGCCATTGCCTTTGCGGCCTCCGCTCTGTTGGCCCTGTCAGCCAGTGCTCCTCAAGCTTCGCTGTGCCCATAGATCACCTGGCCACTTCGAGGTGGAGATGCTGGGTTGGTAGGTGGGGTCTGGGGACTGGGAGTCTGCATTTCTACCTATGAAAGCCCCCAGGTGAGCGCCATGCTGTTTGTGGTAGTTATAGAATCGTTCATCAATTTGAGGATTGAGAGTGAAGGGGTAGAGTCTAGCCAGTCAATCAGATCAGAGGCAGTGAGGCCTCTGTGTGGGCATGGCCTTTTCCTGAGAATTCTGGGAAATCCGGTGTTCCTCTTTGGAGGCGGGAGACACTATCTCTCTCTGCTGACTCCCTTCGCGACATCCCTAAGGAGAAGCCATATGGACCTAATCTGATGCAGCCCTGGAAGCTGGAGAAGCCACATGGAGACTCCTGCCAGCGCGGAGAGGCTTACAATGCCACTAGATTCAAAGACTTTCTATCCACTGGCCTGTGATTGTCCTGCATTCAATGTCATTGCTTGTGCTTTGTGAGTCTGGAGGACCTTATAGATTGGTATCCGACATATGGGCTAATTTCAGACTTATGGGCTTGGACTGGACTGTGTGGGATGTTTTCTTAATGTAAAGTTACCCTTTAGATAAAACTCTTTTATACACATATGAGTGTCTATGGATTTGTTTCTCTGGTCAACCCAGACTAGCACATTGTTGGCCCATGGATCACACTTTCAGTAGTCGAGTTGAGAGTGCTCCTTATTTACATGGAAAACCAAACCAAACCAAGGATGGTACTGTTAGTGGATTCCAGCCCATATAACCCCACAAGGACTCTGTGGTGGCATAGTAGGTCATGTATTAGGCTGATAACTGCAATGTCAGCAGTTCAAAACTGGGTACCAGTGAGTCAGAATTGACTTGATGGCAGTGGAGTTGTTGTTTGTTTGTTTTTTAAATAACCCTAAAGGACAGAGTAGAACTGCCCCATAGGGTTTCAATGGCTGTATGTTTTTTACAGAAGTAGACCGCCACATCTTTTCCTCATGAACTGGCTGGTAGGTTTGAACTACTGACTTGTCTGTGAGCAGCCAAGGGCTTAGCCACAATGCCACCAGGGTTCCTGAAAAGGTAGATGGGCATCTCACCCACTTGTCTCTATGGAGCCTCCAGGGGGCACCACTGATATAGAACAAATGTCCCTTGGAGTTGAATGGGGTTCCTGGGTGTTCAAATGGTTGATGTGCCGACTGCTGCCCTACAGGTTGGAGGTTCGAGTCCTCTCACAGGGCCCTTGGAAGAAAGACCTGGCAATCGATTGATGAAAACAAGCCACAGAAAACCCAGTGGAACCCAGTTCTCTGACACATCAGAAGTCAACCATGAGTTAGAGTTGACCAATGGCAAGCGGTTGAAAATCAAGGCCATGGGACAACCCCCTCTCCTCTTGGAATACGTGGTCTGTGGGGGTGGCACCTTGAAGTCTTCTCACTACCGTGTCCCCGGGGCTTAAACAGTGTCCCTGGTTTGAGAGGATACTTAGCCGAGGGCACCCAAGGCATCACGAGGAGGCAGGACTTGGTTACCTCGATGGCCACAGCGATGTCGGGGGAGCACAGCTCCCAGGTCCTCAGGTCCTGCAGCACCTTCAGGAGGACGTGGGGTCGGATCCTCAGGTCCAGGTTCTCCCCAAACTTCTGTAGTTTTGCCAGGATCTTTTTGGCGGGGCGGAAGTTCTTCAGATCCTCAGGGAGCTTGGACAAGAGATCAAAGTACCTTCAATTGCAAGAGGAGAGGGTGAGTTAGGAAGTTGTTGGGAGGCTTTGGGACCCCTCAGACCCGCCATCCCCACTCTCTTTCCTGGGTTGTCTGAAGGGGAGCCAGGAGTCCTTATCTGGGTGACCTCCTCCCTCCTGGCTTGTAAAGGACCCCACAGATCAGACAAGGCCTGTTTTTAGTGGTAGTCAAAGCTGGAGCCTGGCTTGCATCTTATTTTAAAAATTGCCAGTGAAAGACTTGCTTGAAAAAGATTCGTTGATAATTTTTTTATCAGCTAGAAACATGAAATGTGTGCAGATAGGAAGGGACATGTGGTTCTGAAGTTTCTCTTCTGAGAGTTAGGCCAAGGGAGGACACGGGCACATCCACGGGAGGCCTTAGCAAGAGGGTCTCTCAGGAGATGCTGACAGCAATAGGGCATGTGATGTGTAGTCCACCTCCCTCCTTGGAGGGTGCTGCGTTTCAGTGGGCTCTGAGGACGTCTCCAGTTATGGTACTCTGTAGGATAGTGGGACCAGGTTGAGTGTGTGTGTGTGTGTGTGTGTGTGTGTGGTTCAAGCGTGATTGGGATTTCAGGCAGAGGGATGGTGTCTCTTTTATGATCCCTGCTCCCTCAGGCTACTTATATTGTGATCTACTGGTGACACCTGTTGATATTTACATCTCTGTGCTTAGAAGGAAAGCCCCGTGAGAATGGGCACCTTGCCCGAGTCATTCAGTATCCAGAGTGCTAGGTTCTCTGCCTAGCGCATTGGCGGTGCTCAGGAAGTCTGATGCGAAAGACCGCGGGATGCCTACCTGGCTGCTTGAATAGCTCTGACCTAGCATCATTTCCAAAAGCCTGTGGTTTGTCTGACTCGGTGATGATGAATTGTGGCAAAGCACACACAGCACCCATTTTGCATTTTCACCATGCGCTACATCTATGGTGTGGATCGTACAACACGGTGCACCCACCACCACTGTGTGTGTCTAAAAGTGTGTCTTCGCCTCAAAGAGAAACTCTGCTCATTAAACAGCATCTCCCACTCCAACCCCCTGCCTGATCCTGATAACCACCAGTGTGCCTTCTGTCTCTATGCCTTTATCTAGTCTAGATAGTTCTTACAAATAGCATCTTCTACGGTTTGGCTTTCTTTGGCCTGTTTCACTCAGCATATGTGGTTGCACATGTTATAACCTTATTCCTTCTTATGGTGGAATAATATTCCATTTAACTTACATATAAGTACATCTACAAATGAGTACCTAAAATACATATTTGTACGTAAAACACACACACACACACACACACACACACACACACACACACACCCTGTATTTGCTTTTCCATTCATCTGATGCTGTACACTTACATTGCTTCTTTCTGACCTTGGGCTGTTGTGAATAACGCTGCAAGGAGCTCAGGCATTGCAGTATCTGTGGGAGTCCCTGCTTTCGCTTCTTTGGAGTGAAACACCAGGAATGGAATCCTGGTTCCTATGGTGATTCTAAGGAGGCTTGGTGGTGCAGTGGTGCTAAGGGGAAGGTCTGTGATGCAAACCCACAACCACTCTACTGGAGAAAGATGTGGCAGGCTGCTTCTATAGGGGCTTTTAGCCTCAGAAGCTCACGAGACAGTTCCACGCGGTCCTCACAGGGTTGCCACGAGTGGGAATTGACTTGATGGCCATGGGTTCTGAGTTGTATAAGTCTATGGTGAACTTTGAGGAACTGCCTGCGTGGCTTGATTGTAATGTTACAATCAAGGCCAATAAATGCCCTTTCTGTAATGGCGGCAAAAATTCCACCATTAGAGATTTTGGCCAAATCTTAATTTGCCCTGTTAATACCTTAATGTGAATTCGTTTCTAGCCTCATCTCCCTCTTCTAGTCTGCTCCAAGGAGAGGGAAGGGTCTCTCTCTTGGAAGCCTCTCTTGAGAGCCTTATGTATCTTTTGGGTCAGATATTGCTGGGAGAGGAAGTGACACAGCCCAAGAGTGGAGACAGTGTGAAAGGTCCCACCACTCTGCCAAGGTCTCAAGAATGTGTTAGTAAGCTACAGCTTAGGAAAAGTGTGAAATGGATTCTGGGTACATTTGTAGACATGCTCAGCTCTTGATCAGGATCAAGTTAGTGGAATGGCATTTCTACTGTAGGAGAGCGTAGTGGCTGGCACCACCTCTCTGAGCCCTGGTTTCCATGTTTGTAAAAGGAAGGTGAATACGGACACTTCAGGATTCTTGCGAGGACGAAATAATACATGAAAGTGCTGCTGGTGGTGCCTGCCTTCCTGTAACCACTCAATCCCTGGCCCTTTTGTTGTTGCTGCCGGCTCTCCTTGGTGGGGCACAGGGCACCACCCTCGGCTGGCCTGCTTTGCGGTCTCGAGAGCCTACATGCTTGGGGAACTAGAGTGATCTAGACCCCAGGTCTAGGTACTTGGGTGGTGGGTTTGCCTTCCCCACCTTCCCCAGGAGTGCTTGGGAGTTAGTCTGCCATTGCAAGCCCACGTTCAACAGAAGGTGATTATGGAAAGCTGGATTGTCTGCAGCTCAGGGATAGAGGGATTTTTCCCTGGTTGTGCTTGGTAAAGTGTGTGTGTGTGTGTGTGTAGTGGGGGGTGGGGGGGGGAAGCTCAGAGAGAAAGAAGACAACCCTCAAGGAAATGGATTGACATGGTGGGGTGGCTCCAGCAATGGAGGTGGGCATAGGCACAATGGTGAGGTGGGTGCCGGCCCTGGCGGTGTTTCATTCTGCTGTGCACAGCACCCCTGTCAGTGGGAACTGACTGACGGTACCTGACAAGAATCACTAACGTGCTCTTGATTTTGCTTCTTTGGAGGACTGTGTTGGTGGCCTGGGCCGTTTTGGAGGTGGGGCACCTCCCGGCCTTGAAGGATAATGGGGTCCATTGTAATCCTGTCACAGCAACATTCCTCAGCCCACCCTTGGCAAGCGCTGTCCAGGGTGGCTTTTGGGATCTTTACCAGTGGTCCGCAATTTCGTCCGCATCTCCTTTTACTAAGGAGACCTGCTGCCTCATTTTCGCTATGTCCTTTTGAAACGTTGAGACGAGACAAAAAGAATTGAACTTCTGGAGACCGCGCTCCTCTTGGCGCCTACGTGGCAGGGGGTGTGAAAAAGAGGAAGTGGAATCAGATTCTCTCTCTGCTGGTCACCACCCTTGATGCCCTGTGAGGTCTGACCTCACCTCCATTTCCACCCAACCTTGGGAGTCTGGCTAGAGCTCTCTCCAAGGTCCCGAACCACCAGTTTCCTGCTAAGCGCAATCAAACCACGCTCTGGCCATGTGAGTCTGACTCACGGTGACCCTATGGGTGCAGGCTCGGACTGCACATCATCTGTTTTTCAAGGTTGTGACCTGTTGGGAGCAGGCCACCCAGCATTTCCTCTGAGTGGTATCTGAGTAGGTTTGAACTCTTAACCTCTTGGTTAGGAACTAAGCACGTAGTCTTTTGAACACCCTCGGTCACCCCTGTTATACCCAGTCACTTTTTGACTCACTCCCCATTCACCTCCTGTTTCTGGTTGTAGTCATACTGTGTTCTTCATCTGTAAAATGGGGCCGAATAAATGGTTCCCACATCCGTAAGGGGAGGATAAAGCGAGGGCATGTGTGTAAAATACTGAGCACAGAGCAACACACACTGTGAGTGTTCCCTCTCCTCCCTGCTCCCCTTAGCACTTTGTGCAATGCCATTTCTTTCCATGGAGACCTATTCTTACAGAGATAACCAAGTCGCTCCCCTGAAGACAACTCCCCATTTGTCTCAGAAATGTGTGTAATTTGCCCTCCCAGGCCCTGCGCTATTGGCCCCTACAACGTTCTCCAGTTTTATCTCTCTCCATCCCACTTTCCTTTCTGGGAGCATTTTGGGCCGAGACTCTTGATCAGTCTTTGAGATAAAGTTCATTCTCCACACCTGGCTTTGAAGATCTGACTCCTTTCCATTTCTCTCACCACCTTGCAGGCACCCTAAGCCTCAACTTTGCTTGTTTGTTTTTCTTGGCAGTTGCCCAGCCCACTGTGTCCCCCTGGGCCCTGGGACTTGGCTCTTGATTTTCCCTGGTTTTCCCTTCCCTGTGCAACTCTGGGTTTGAATTCCACCCTTGCTACTGGGTGAGATCTGACAGGCGACATCTCTCAGGCCCACTGTGCTCATGAACGAGAGCATAAGAGTAGCACCTATCCCATCTCTCAGACCCACTGTGCTCATGAACAAGAGCATAAGAGTAGCACCTACCCGATAGCATTGTGGTGAGGACCCAATGAGTCAGTAAATGCATGCCAAGCCCTGGGGCCTGCTCCTCGTACATAGCGATTGCCCCAGACATGGCAGCTATTTTTAATCCAGCTGCAAATGCCATTGTCTCCAGAAAGACCCCCTAGATCTTTCTGATTACTCTCCGGGCCCAGGTGGACATCACTTTTCTGTACCTCTTGAGCCCACTCTGTTTATTTACTCCATTGGCAGCCCTCCCCACTCTGTGTGGTACCTGTGGTGTGCTTGTGTGTTCACCCTCCCAGACTGGCAGCTCCTGGAGGGCAGGAGCCTGCACCAGTCATCTCAGTCCCAGGCCCAGAGCAGGGGGTCCATTACACTAAAAGAATGTGAGGACAGAGGGCCAACTGGCAGCCTTTCTTGGACGAATGAGCTCATTGGGGGTGGGGCAGGGCGTAGTCAGTGAGTTTCCAGGATAGAAACACCCAGCTTGCAGCGGCCTCTGGGTGCTCTTCAAATCCTCGAGGTATGCTTCTGGCTGTGCACGAGGCAGCACCCACCGGTCCCTTCCCCCTGCCCTCGACCTTGCCCGTGCTCCTTCCCTTCTGGAGCTCAGTGTGCACCTTTTCTGCATCTCCTTTTAGTAAGGAGACCCGCCGCCTCATTTTCGCTATGGCCTTTGGAAATGTTGAGACGGAAAAGAAAGAATTGAACTTATGGAGACCCCTCTCCTTTGGACGCTGACAAAGGCAGGTGGTGTGGGAAAGGGGTGTGGGGATCAGATCCCCTCTCTGAACGACCCGACCCTTGCTGCCCCTGACCTCACTTCCTTTTCCTCCCCACCCCAGGGACCTGGCCAAAGAACACAGCTCTCAGCTCTCTCGGAGGTCCTGAACCCCCCATTTCTACCATGGAAAGGGCCTGGAATGCCCGCTCCCTTCTCTACACACAGCCAAGTCCTCTTCATACAAGGCATCTCAGTCGTTGCTGCTCCCTTGCTGTGCAGAGATGCTTGCAGAGATGCTGAGAGCTAATGGAACTGGTTGTATTCTCCCTCCGTGGTTTGTGTGTTGGGCTGCTAACCACAAAGTGAGCAGCTTTGACCCCACCAACTGCTGTGGGGTGGGGAGGGCTGAGGCTGTCTGCTCACACACAGATGTACACACTTGGAAACCCTGTGAGGCAGTGCTCCTGTGCCCTGTCGGATCTCTGTGAGTCAGACTCGTCGGCTGTGGGTTAGTGGACGAAGTTCCAGGAGCACATGTAATAGGTCTTCTGTGTCCCTTGATGTAAGCCCCAGCACCTGTTGCATCAAGGCACACAGCAAATGCCTAGCCAGTGTCTTTGTTCCGGTGAGTGGGCCGGCGTGTCCTTACTTCATGAGGATTTCCATCTTGTCCTGGAGACAGAAGCCAGCCTCCTCGGCCACGCTGTAAAACTTGGCCCTCATGGAGGTGCACACGCTAGTCTTGCAATGGGGCGTGGCTTGAGCTTGGCGGCTGCAGGCACAGAGAAGAAAGACGTGAAGGATGGCGTCCCTCACGGGCCATTGCAACCCCTGGGTCTCAAGGTCGTCTGCATGGGGATCCTCCATCCCCACCAGGGTTCTCTCCCCTCCTCTAGAGCCTCCCTCTGCACCCGCCTGGGTGCGTGAAGGTCAGCTGCTCCCAGGCAGCATCGGGCGTTCTTAAACGACTCTTTAGTGACAAAAGATGGAGAGATGAAAAGGGAATTTGGAGCTGGGAGACCCAGGTTCAAATTTCAGTGTCACTACTGTGTGACCTCAGGGAGACGGTCCAGTGTACTGAGCTTCTGTTTGCGTCCCTGTCCAGTGGGGGTAAGGTCCCACCTCTTAGGGTTGTCTGTGTGGATTGAGCAAGGCAGCGAATTCAGGCGGACTCTTTCCGCAGTGCCTGGCACAGCGGGCTTGGGTGCCCTTGTTTGCATTGCTGGGCAGCATCTTGTCTGGGTGTACCCTGCCTTGAAAGTTAGCCTAGCTTGCCATTGGCTCATTCCTTGCCCCTCCCCTCCCACCACCACCACCTGACTGACCTTTTAAACTTCTTCGAGATGAGCTGGGTGTGGCTTTCTCCACTTGTGCTGCTGGTTTTGTCACTGCAACATAAAGGGATGCCCTCCTTTAAAGGGTGCCTCCCGCCCCCTTCCGCCCATCCTCACTATGTCATGACCAGCCATCAGGGTTCCTGTCAAGGAGGAGGTTCTGACTGATTGGGGTCCCAGTCTTAGAACTGATGGTGCTTTTCCCCACCTCTGGGCCTTTGCTTTCTCTGCAGCCCCAGCTGGGAGCCTTTTCCTGGTGTCTTTTGTGGCTGCTCAGCTCCTGCCCAGGTTTCCCGGTGCCTAGCATGCCCATGCACACGCTTGTGAGCTACCTTTGACCGTCGGGCTCTGCGTCCTGTCAGTTACACATTGGCTGGATCTGCTTGTACTTTTTTACCCAATTGGTCTTTATGTCAGGAGGGCGCGTTCCTTTTGAATTCTGTCCTGCTCTCAGTCCCCAGTCAGCCTATCACAGGGGGCCCGTGTTTGAGGAAGAGATAAGTGAGGCTCCCAGTCATTCTTCCTTCGGTGTTCCTGACCCCATACTCTCTCATTGTCCAAGGGTCCTCTTTTCTCACTTAAGCCATTGTATGGAATTGTGCCCTGGTTTGGTGGCAGGCAGAGTTGGGTTCAGGGCCAGTCCTCCCACTACCGCGTCTCAGTCCAAGGGCAAGCAGCTCACTCCCCCGTTAGGTTCTCAGTTTCTGTAGCTGTGAAATTGGCATTCTAATATCTACACCATGGGACATGGATTAACCAAATAAAATCCCGGATACAAGTACTTGGGACCTAGCAGAGGCTCAGAAATAGTATTAACCTTCTTCCTCTTTTCTTTCTTCCCCCACGGGGGGCAAATGTGTTGAACCAGCCATTCCAGGACTCTAGATTTTTGTGTTGCACATACAGGGTGGAATGTTTACCAACATGGCCAACAAGCATGGGAAGAGATAGATGCTTGCAGTCATGAGGCCTTTAAGGGATGTGAATTACAACAGCAACGAGCTATCACGGAACATTAAAACCAAAACTGAAAACAACAAGTGCAGTCCAGGTGTGGAGAGACTGGAAGTCGCACGGTATTGGTAATAGAGATAGTGATCTCGCAGTCCCTCGACTCGGGATATGTCCTGGAGAATTAAGAGGTGTGGCACGAATAGACACATGCCCATCTGTGATCCCCGCAGCACTATTCACCCAAAGAAAGAATCCAAGTGGGAAAAAGGATAAACAAACCTCGGCACACACGCACCATGGAAGACTGTGTGACACTAAAGAATAAAGGCGAATCTGCGAGATCCCTCAGAACGTGAATGTACCTGAGGACTTTCTGTGGCGTGAACTGAAGTCATCACAGCGGTTTGTTGTAAAAGGCCAGGGAAAGGTTTTCACTCTGAAGGAAACACTCTTGGTGATTGCTATGGGTAGGAGTGGAAGTGTAAATTGCCAGCGAGAGGGTAGGCACATATGAACCTGACTGAAGAGGAAGAAGACAACATACACGAAGAAGGCCAGCAAATGGATGACCCTGGGAGGACCCTGGGAGGAGTGCATGAGGTAAGGGCACTTGGATAAACATTCTGGCTGAATGGGTGTGGGAGAGAGAGTGGGAGTATATTAATGAATATAGATATGGGTTGGACAAAGGGTATTTGTATATGTGTATTTACTTTTGATACAAATACAGCCAATGAATGTGGTGGAGCATACAGGGGGAAAGTTTGGAAAACTTCTGAGACATAACCAAGCACCAGGAGGGAATGAGACACAGCAAGTCAGTTAGCATCACATCGCCCACAAAGATAATGTTCTACATCCTACTCGGGTGATTCGGGACTGGGCTCTTCACACTCTAAGGTGCATCTGTCGGTCTCTTCCTGTCCCAGGAAAGAAGAATGAAGAAAACATATAGTCCAACAGATTAATGTACCACATGAATGAACGGCAGCCCCACAACCCCGAGACCAATCGAAGTAGATGGTGCCCGGCTAGCATTACCAACTGCCCTGAAAGGGATCCCTTTAGAAGGGCCTGGACAGAGCGCGAGAGAGATGTGGAACAAACTCAAACTCATAAAGGAGACCAGGCTTATTCAAATAGATACTGGTGAAGCCTCAGTTTGCCCAGTGGTGATAAACAAGCAAATAGCAGGAAACCTTTGCCTGCCTCACTCCTCTCATTTTGGTCTGCTCTGAGTTCCAGCTGCATTGTTCTTCTTTTTTCCTCCTCACTGCGTCTAAGCTCCCTCCTGCCAGGGGCGCATGCTATTCCCCGTGCTTTGTGTCCTCTTCCCAACTCATGGGTTAGCTGACTCCTTTGGGTTCTTCAGGCCTCCGCTTACATGTCAAACTCTACCTGGTTAGCATCCTGGTGAGCACTTGTGTGCACCCTGTGCTGCCTCTGCTGGAGAACATGGCCCACGGTCATGATTATGCGGCCAGCTATGGGCGCATATGATTGACAGTTGACTAACCAACTGACCAACGATTCTCAGCCCAATGTCCAGGGACAAGAAGGTAGACTGGGAAAACGTTGAGCCTTGCTTTTGACCAACCTGTAGCCAAGATGGAAACCACAAGTATGTGCAATCACGTTTCAACTGTGGGAGTTAGTTTAAAAAAATCCATTTATATTCAACACAAATCTAGAATTGTGGTAGTTAACAGACCTACCGTTAAGCCTTAGCTTATAAGTCAATAATAAAGATGCTTATAGATGACTATATCATAAAGTTGGTTTTAGTCCTTGGTATTACTGTAGATTTCATTGTCTTTTATACGAAAACCACTTGCCCTTGACTCATTTTGGACCCCTGGCGACCCTCTGTGTGTCAGCCTAGAGCTCTGCTCCACCAGCCTCTTCAGAGTTGGTTCCCAGGTACCTCCAGGTACCTTGAACTGCCAACCTTGTGGTGACCATTTGAGCCTGTTAATTGATTCACACACCCCTAGGGACGCCTTGTATTTTGTATTATGCATTTAAAGCCTGAATCTTTCAAAGGTTTCCTGAGACTGCCAAAGTGGTCCATTAAAAAAAAAGTTTTGAGGCCTGCTTTGACTGAGTTCTATAAGGGCACTGCAGTTCCTGGGATGTAGGGATAACCGACGAACATTCTCTCAATAAATTAGGGACTAGGGCAGACCTCCCCCTCCCCCATCCCAAATCACCCAAACCACACTTTCCTTTCCCTGGCCTTCCCCCCCTCCCCCCAACGATGCCGCTGGCAGTATTGTATTCTGTAATATGGCTGGGGAGGGACCATGGATACCCCCACCCCCTATCTTCCAGGAGGTAGGAAGTTTGTTTCCAGTGAAGTCACAAAAGAAGGAGGAGAAGTTTCCCGGGGAGGGATTTTCACGGTGAACTCCGACCTGTGGGCTGCCTCCTGCCCCACCTCCTGCAGGCTCTGGCCTTCTTACCTGGATTTGTCCTTACATGCAGATTCGCTCTTGTTTTGTTTCATCATGGACAAGATGCTGTAAAGCAAGAGGGGCGTCTTAAGCTGGCACTGAACCCATAGTGCATCGAGTGCAGGGAATGGCCATGGGAGGGCGTCCCCTTTCCAGAGCAGGTCTCTGCAGAGAACTGCATGGAGAGTTTGCTGGTTAAATAGCTTCCTGGACCCTAATCCTAGAGACTTGTATTCATCAGGCCTGGGGCAGGGCTCCAGGGCCTGCACGTCATGTGGCACCCATACACATGGTCTGGGAGCCAACTTTAATAACCTTAGAGTTCCTCTGTGTTCTTCGAGAATAGGGCTCACTAGGAGTGTTTGGTGGACGTTGAATAAGGAGGATCCAAGGAGAATTGATACTTTTGAATTGTGGTGTTGGCAAAGAATATTGAAAGTACTAAGGGCCACCAAAGGACAAACCAACCTATCTTGGAAGAAGTACAGCCAGAATGCTCCTTAGAAGCAAGGGTGGTGAGACTTCATCTCACGTAGTTTGGACATATTGTCAGGAGACACTATGGTGCTTGGTAAAGTAGCGGGGCAGCCAAAAAGAGGAAAGTCCTTGACAAGATGAATTGTCGGGGTGGCTACAACAATAGGCTCCAGCTTAGGGGCAGTTGTGAGGACGGCACAGGGCCAGGCCCTGTTGGACACCGGGAAGGTGGTCACGATGAATTAGAGCAGACTCTATGGCACATCATAACAGCAGCAGCAACAACAACAATAGTATGTGTGTTTTTGTTTTTTCAAATGCAGCTTCCTCTAGGCTCAGATGAGTGGAGCTGAGAGGAGGTCTGCAGACTTTTAACAAGGGCCCTCAGCAGAGCCGTATATCATCAGGGACATTGGGGAAGCCCTGTTAGGCTGGGGGAAAAGAAAAGGCCTAGACAACTAGGGGCGGTCCCGCCTTGAAACTAGAGCAACTTCGTTGGCTCCTGAGGTTTTCCCCCAGACCCCAGGATTCTACCTCTTTCCTCCTGGGAGCAGATCCAGTGTCTGGAGCAAGAGAGGATCCAGATTCCGTAGGGCAGGCCCAAACAGGCCCAAGACCGCATTGGCAGCCTTCCCAAACTGCCTCTCAGCAGCCCACACTGAAGCCTTCCAAATCTGCTGCCTTAGTGAGAGATCAGGGGAGTTTTTTTCTACCCCCCAGGGAGCTGTTGAGGCTTAGAGATTCCAGCAGGTTCTTGCTCTGTAACCATGGTTATTTTCTCATTAAAACGAAGGCAGCGGCTGCATGATAGGTCTCGAAAAAACTGGGTTCTGGGGAGGTTTTATCTTCAAAGATCTTCAGCTAGTCACTCAGAGCCGATCTTCTCATCCATGAGCTAGGGTGGGAGTGAGGGGGAGCATACCAGTCTCAGCAAGGTGCTGTGAAGATGCTAGGGGGCACCAGGTGTGAAATAAAAGTCAATCCACCAATCACTGTCCCTACCTGTCACTGCCATCTATTGAGTGCTTGCTATGCGTCTGGCCCATACTAAGTATATTGCATGAAATATTTTACTAAATGTTTACAATGAACCATTGCATAGGCATTATTTCCATAACTTCAACACAAGGATTATTTAGTTTAAATTCACGCCCCAATCCTTTGAGTGCAGGTTGCACACAAGCCTCATTTTATAGAAGCAGAATCAGAGAGGTGCAGTAACTCGCTCAGGGTCACACTGCAAGTACATGATGGAGACAATTATTTGACTGCTGCCCAATTCCATTTTCTAGATGAGAGAACTGAGAATTGGGAAACGTCTTGTGACTTGTCCAAGGACACTAGGGTTGGACCCACATCAGTCTGAGTTCAACACCGGTGCCTGTTCGTTCTCAGAAAGGAAGGTGCTTCGATGAGCATGCTCCAAACCAGGACTATCCGGCCCCGGTGCTGACAGATCAGGCACAGCAATGGTGGGGGTGCTTGTGGGTCAGCAGCAGCCTCCAGCATCTCCCAGTGCCATCTTCCTGAGGCTGGTGGAGGCAGCCATAGACAAATCTGTCATTAGCAAGCAGAAGCGGGTGTGATGCATGCACAAGTGCTTTGTGAACTGTAATTATGGTAATAACAATAACCGATAAGTCATAGCTGGCGTCCCAGTAGGCTGACGGCGATGATGAACCTCTTCTAGTGCCTCATTTGTTTTCAGGAAGTCATTTCCCCACTCAGAGGGAATCTGCCCTGGGGAAGGGAACTCCAGCTCCCGCCTGCGTGCTTTCCAAGGTGTTGCAACATCAGACATCTTGGGGACAAGGCTTTCCACCAGGAGGAGGACACCTGAGGTTCAGGTCTGATAACATCTCTTTATGAGCCGAGTATGTTGGTCACAGGCTTGACATTTCAGAGACTCCCCATTGCTTAGGGTGGAAACTAGAATCCCTGAGCTGGGCCTCGAGGTCTCTAGCACCCTCTCCACCCCACCCCCCAACCTGAAAGAGCTGGTGAGCTCGTTCTCTCGCATCATCCCAAAATCTCGGATTGAAGTTTGCTTCCTTGGCAGAGATTTCTCTGACCCCCACCTCTTATGCAGAGTGGTGACAGGAATGGCTGTTGGGGTTAGAAAGACCGAGCTTGGACGGTGGGTTTACCATTCACTGACCTCGAATAGTGACATAAGCACTGGGGGCCTTATTTCCCTGCCTAGCTATAAAATAAAGAGCTTAGCCCCCATCTGTTGAGGTTGTTGTCAAAGTGCAGGGAGGCAAGACAGATGAACAAAGAAGCGAGCTCGGGCATGGTTGGGCCTGGGGAAGGTTGCCTAACTGCTAATGCTCCACTACTTTTCTTACACTCTCTCTTGGTCCCAAGAGTCAAGGGCACATACCTGGGCACTTTCTTTTGAGCCCCGTCCACCACATTTATCCTCCTCCTGGCATCTTCCCGAACCATCTCCAGGAGCTTCTGCAGATCTGATGGAAACAGGAGGGTCACCTTTTGGGGGTATCTTTGGGGCATGACTGTGCAGGGCTGCGTGTCAGGGAATGGTAGAGGGAATACTGATCAGGGTCCTAGAGAGGAGGCTTGGTGTGATTGGCTGGCTGTCATCTGGCCACCCCACTCCCCTGCTTAAAACTCTGCAGCGACTCTCTGATCCTCTTTGAGCAAAGTCTAAATCCCCCCTTCTCACCTATGGGGCTCTGCAGGATCTGGCGTCTTTTTATCCCCTTTCTCCTGATTCATCAGGTTTTCTCTCCTTCACTTCCAACACAGCGGTGACCAGAGAGAACTGTCTCTAATCCTGAGAAGGGACAGCCATGCCCAGAGAACATCCTCTGATCCACATCCCGAAGTTCCAAGCTCGGCATCCCTGGACGGAACTGAACTTTGAATGGTGTCTTAATTGATGTGAATGCCAACTTTTAGAAAACTGGAAGGTTTCACATGGAAGACCAGACCTTTAGCTTCCCTGGGAAAACCCAAATCTGTGTGAGGCTGGCTCCGCATGCCCGTATCCTGCTGCATCCGACCTTGAGACAGGCAGACTTACTGATCCCTGAAGTTCCCAACACGCTTCCTTGCTGTGGTTGCTTTTGATCATTATGCTTCATAATGATGTGTTTTATTTCCCATGGAAAGATTTCTCTGAACCCACCACTCTCAAAAGTTAGGATATGATGTGTCCATGGAGTAAGTGCCATGCTTCAAGAAAATTGGGAGAGTGCAAGGGAAGAATCACCCTATGGATCTCAGAATCAGGGGATGGATTTGCCTGCCCCCTGCACTCACCTTCCACTTCTTCCCTAGCAAGGTGCCTGCTTCACACAGAGTCCACAGGCCTTAGGACTCACACTTCCCATTTCCCATTGTTTGTATCTGTCCACGGTGCTGAAATCCCACAGGCTGAGCTCGATCGCCTTGGTGACTGAGCTTCACCAGAATCCCCCTCAGAATTGAGAGCCACGAGAGACAAGAGGGGGGCGAAGTGGAAAGAGGAATGACGTGGCAGACAGGCATTTTAAGATCAGCAACATGCAAAGGAGTCCAGTGGGCGGTGGGTGTGGGTGGAGGGACTTGTTTTGAGATGAGTTTCAAATAATTACAAGAATCCTGATAATTCCTGGAACCTGAACCACGATAGGGAGTCTTCAACATACATTCTCAGCAGTACAAAGCTGCTCGTGTCTCATCATGAACAGTCTATGGCGGGCATCCCTGAATAATCAGCTAAAGTATAAATGCACCTAACAACTTTTAAAAGCTCGGTTTTGGTGAAGAATAGGTGATGCTTGCACTGTTTCAGAACAGTCTTCAGCAGAATGGCAAATAGTAGTGCTTACCTATCACGTCTCCCTTTCTCTGAATTTCAGAACTTTACTCTTTCGCGCATCCATCAATAGCTCCACTGCCATGAAGTAGTTCCAATTCATAGCACCACTCTATAGGGTTTCTGAAGCTGTGCAAATCTTCATGGGAGCGGAAGGGCTTGCATTTCTCCTGCAGAGGAGCAGCTGGTAGGTTTGAACTGTCGACTTTGTGGTTCGCAATCCGCTGCTTATCCAGCTAGTTCAGGTGCTTCTCTGTGCATTCCTGCCCTGGTCTCATGACGTGGCAACGGACTGCTCACTTGTCTGACCTTTCTTGTAGGTGGTGAGTTTCATAAGGGCAGGGGCCACGTCTCATTTGCCCCTTTCTTTCGCTAGCCTGGGTACCTGTCTTGACCTAGAAGACTCTCGGCCGTCATTTGCTGCATGAATGAATGAATGCACAAGGAAGGGAAAAGGGGGAGCCGGGGAGACTCTGAACTAGATGAAAGGTGTCCCTAACGGATGACATCTCTCCCTGGGGGCTGACTCAGGCTCAGTTGTCAAGATCTGTTTACAAGGACAACTTGAAGGCCATTTAGGTGCAGTCTTGTCTATGGATGCAGTCGGTGGATGCTCAGGAAACGTTGTCAGTCCTTAGTGCTTTGGGGCATCCTGTAGGCCATGTTCACTAGCAACATTTAGGCATTTTTAATCCAACCCCTAAATCTCAAGTGGTTTATCCGCCTAGTCATTTCCGGGCATGATTCCATTTGACCTGAATGTAACCTTCATGTTGACCTGTTTTTGCCCTCTTCTCTCACTCCCGTACATCTTGAATTTTGAAAGATGTTTCAAGAAGCCTCTGAATGAAGAAGAGATGGCCATTTCCTCAACTTTCTTTGCTTCTCCTGGGTACCAAGAAGGAACATCGAATTGCTTGAGTGTTCCTACCACCATCCATGTGCAGACCACCCTTGGGTGGATGCCAGCAGGGGGTTCTAAAGCCCTGCCACACTGGGAGGCCCTCCTGAAGAAACAAGTGTAATATGCACATCTCACATAGTGGACTGCAGATGGCTTTCCTTCTGCTTGACAGCAAGGCCTTTGGACGGCCTGGGGCCTACCAGTCGGAAGTTTCATCTCTCTTGTTGCTGAAGCTGTGTATATGTGAAATAGAACAAGCGCCAGAACTATGAGGTCAGCATCTACTCCCTAGAGCGACTTGGGAGAGGAAGCTGGTTTGGAGAGGATGCAGGTGGGGCAGAAAGCCCCGTGATGGATGCCCACACTCAGAGGAACCAGCTTGGTTCAGTAATTCCCAGGTTGTAGGTTTGTGGCTGGCTCAGGGACACTGGCACAGCATGTTGTCAATGGCCAAACTGTATCCCCAAAGACAGAAATTCCAGCCATCTCTCTTCCTTCCCTTACCCATCTAAGAAGGTCTCCCTTGGCTGTACACATTTCTTTTTCTCTCAGGGGAGGGGTAGTAAAGGATCTCTTGAGTTCCTGGGAGATGCAATGGTTGCAATACCAGCTGAAAGGTTGGGGGTTCAAGCCCACCTCTGAAGAGAGACCTCTGGTGATCTAACATGCCACCCCCACCCCCCATCTCCTTAAAAAAAATCAGCCATTGTAAAGTCCATGGAATAGAGTCACTATGAGTTGGCATTCCCTAGGTGACAATCACTGGCTTGGGTTTTCTTTGGTGGTTATTGGGTAGGAACTGGTTGTAGGGGCACGGTCTGCATCAGATTTCATTTTGAGTTGCTATGTAAGTTGCTAAGTAGGTTGTTCCTCTAGTAGTAGTCTGGGACGAGGAGCCTCAAGAGCTGCCAAAGGAATGGGGCTTTTGTTTCTTGGGAATCCCCCCACCGTTGATTTCGGGATAAGCTCAGTCCTAGGGGAAGCCCCAACTTGCTGTCTTCAGTGATTTGCATCCACAAAGACTTCATTACGCAGCCGGCCCTGACAATTAGACCTCGGTCAAATGGCACATCTCTCAGAATGGGTTTCATGAATTCACAATCAATTTGAGGAGGTTTTAGAAGGCAATGAAAGGCTGGGGAATTAATCTACTTTTGTCAAGACTGTGACAAATGGGATGAAGGTTAAATTATAAATGGAGGAAAGGTTTGGAGGGGCTGAAGTAGGACTTTCTTTCCCAGGGGATAGGTCTCTGGTGCAAATGCACCACCTAGCCATTGGTTGTGTACCTACTGTGTGCCAGGCTGAAGGTGAGTGAGATTTTCCAGGTCGCCACCTGCTGGGTACTCACGTTGCCTCTCTTTTTCTTCCCGTGGAATAGAACTTGGATTCCTTCTTGTGAGGGAGGCTTTCACCGGGACATGTTTCTGAGCTTCCTTTGCAGCGAGGTGTGCCCTCTTGGGCACAGTGAGACTTGAGCGGAAGAGTGGTATCGAGCCTCTGCAAAGGCTGCTTAGACTCTGCCAGGAGGGGTACCTCGGTCCTTTGCCAGCATCCTTCTGCTTCCTTCTGTGAAGACTGGGGGTTTGCGAAGTGATTGAGCAGAGCGCCACGGAGAAGAGACATAGAAGGAAGTGGCAGCCCTGGTAGTCTTTTAGAGCTATCCCTCCAGTCCTGGGATGGTCTTCTGTAGTCGCTAAGAAATTGAAACTTGGCTTTTTTTAAGCCATGGCCTTTCAGGTCTGACCCAATGCAGTGAGGTGTAGTTGTAAACAAAAATTAAATACTCTGTGAAAGCAAATGCAAAGGACGAAGACGTGGGAGACATCTGACTAAGATGTCAGAAAAGGCTTCACAGAGGGGACCTTGAAGCTGGGCTTTGACACTTGAAATGGAGTCCATGGATTGAAGGTGCAGAAAAAGGAGGACCTGTAGATTGCTTAAGAAGGAGAAAGTGTTTGGGAGTAGGGAAGGCCAAGTTTAAGATAAAAAGTTGCAAAAGCTAAACCTCTGGCCAGTGTACATACTTGTCTGGACTTTGTCTCAAAGGCACCAGGGAGGCATAGACAGCTGTTGGTTCCCGTGAAGAGTTCTGTATCAGATTTGGAGTTTTGAAAGGCCCCTCTGGCTCAGTGGATGGGTGAGGGCAGGAGACTAATTAAGGACACTGTTGTCATCTGACAGGTGGTGAGAATGGAGACCAGGGGTCCAACTCAGGTACCAACAGGGCCAGGCACCAAAAATGAGTGACATTGGCCACTTGTGTAAGGAGAGTCAAGTTCCCCCTTTGGTCTGTTTCTTATTTCCCATCCTTTTTAATAGAAACTTGGGTCAAATGTAAGAGATGATATGTGAGTTGAGAGCCAGATCGCCCAGGTTCAAATTCTGGCTTCAGCCCTTCTTAGGTGTCCTTGGGCAGTGAATGCCAGCTCTCTCTGCCTCACTTTTCTCATCTGCAAAACGCGCTGATAAAAGAAGCTGGAATGATGTCTGACACCTGGAAGTCCTCCTCAGTTTCAGCCGATGAACTACTATTGTTGTCATGATTCTAAGTAAGACTGGAAGGTCGACCTGTTGTTAAATCACCAATACTCAGCCCACTGGGAGCAGTGGCTGGGGGTAACAGGGAGCAGTGGGGCCTGTGGCAAACGAGCATGCACAGGCCCTCGGCCCAGGGAAGAGTACCAGCTGATGGCTCTCAGACAGACAGGCTTGTGGGCTCATTCCCCAAATCAGAATTTTCAAGTAAAATACCTTAATGTGAAAAAGGCCAAGCTTTTTTGTTGTCCAAAACTTGTGTGTCTTGAAAAAAATCCCAACTGACAGGATCAGGTTTGGACACCCAGGTGTCTGTCTCTCAGTCAACGCAAAAGCAGAAGGGGTGAAGGAAGGTCGGGGCCAACAAAGTTTTACCAGCACGCTTGATGCAGACAGTTGGTTAAAGGGGGGATGGGGATGGCCATCAAGGCAGGTCCTGTGGGGTCCTCTACACCTGGAGAGGGGGGCGCTGATCTCCCCTGCCCCCAGTGCCCTCAGTAGTGCCCTGGCTACTGTTAGCCCCGGCCTCTGTGGGGAGAGCCAAAGGCCAGTCCTGGAGCCACTTCTCCCCTCTTCGTTCAGAACAAGGCCTTTAGCGTGCAAAGCCATGGGCATGGGATTAGTAACCACCCAGAGAGACCCTGGAAAAGTCAACCATCTCCTGCCACTCCTGTGATCTGTGTCTCCCACAGACCTCCAGTGGCACTTTGAGTGATTCCGAAATTCTCACTTTGCTCCACAAAGGCCCCCTGCGACCCAGACCCCGCCTCTGCCCCCACCTTCTGTCTCTGGGCTGCAATTTAAACCCTAGAGCTGTGTGGGGCTTTGCTGCCTGCAGAGCTAGGTCTGATCCATCCCCACCTACAGCCTCTCCCTAGCCCTTTGACTTTCTCCTGTGCACCTGTGGTCTGCAGCTATCTTGTGGTTTCTAGCTTTCAACTTTCTTGTTTATTGTCCGTCTCCTTCTCAAATGTAAACTTGGGGAGGGAGGAACCCGCAGGCACACAGTAGGTGCTCAGTAAATAACATGTTGGATGAAAACAGGTTGAAGGAAATCTCTAAGAGTCACACATCTACCATTGCTCAGAGCTAATGCTAGCAAATACTTAGCAAACAGCTTTTCAGGACTTGGCGTGGCCTCCCAGCCTCTTGCTGACAAGGGAGGTGGTGAGAATTTTTCTCAGTGGCAGCCCATCCTGTCCATCTATGAGATTGTTACCCTTCTACCATCTCCAGTCTTGGCCCATCAGGGCTCCCCCTGGGCTGGCCATTGGGTCCCAGACTCTGAAGTCTAGTCTACCTTGACCTCCAACTCCCTGCCATCCTCACATCCCTGACAGCACAGCCCCGCCGAGTCTCAGTTGCCTCAGGCATTCCTCACAGTCTAAGAGACCCTGGCTGAGCATGCCTGTCTCGGTTAGGACCCACTGAGAAGACCCAGCAGATTGGCTGCCGCAGTAGGCCAGGCCTCTTCTCAGGTCAGTGCAGAAGCTCTAAAGCCTGTGCTGTGGAGATGGCCGCCCAGCTCTGTAAATGATCGGAAGATCGCTTAAAATGGTGTGCTTGACATGAGGGAGGTCTGTGGCATGTAAATGACACCCAAGTAAAGCTGGCAAAGGGGAGAGACGCCAGCCTTTAACGACGTGGTGTGGAAACAGTGTGAAAGTCTCTGCATTATGACATTCATATTGATGGCAGGTTAAAATGATACCACTCCGTCTACATGGAATCTTGGGTGGCCTCCCTAGGAGAAATAGATCAGTAGAATCCAGGTTAAGCAGTGTTTTTCTGATCACCAGTGGGGGAAGGCAGGGCTGACCAACGAAACTGACCAGGGCTCTGAGCTCCCTGTGTCCTCCTGAAACTAGTCCTAGATGAAGACAGAGGTGGAGCACAGGGGGCCTTGGTGGCTGCCTCATAGGCATAGGCAAATGGTCGGCGCAGGTGGTCAGATCTGAGGCAGGACTTACTGAGATGAAGAGGCTCCTCATCCGCCTTGGTTGAGCAGGACTCATTGTCCTCGATGTCCTTGCTGCCTGTCCCCTGGGTCACCACACTTGGAGGCTCATCGGAGCCCGGGTTCACAGAGATCATGCTGCTCTGGGGGGATGACCCCCCACTGGTCCGAGACAGACTGAGCGTGGAGCCTCGCCGGCTTGACTTTCGGACGGTGGTGCGGAGCGCTGGGACTTTGGGTTTCTTGGTTTGCTGTAAAGAGTGCAGTAAGAGGGATTTCAGAAAGAAAGAAGGTGGGGGTGGGGTGGGGCATAGGCGGGGAGCACAGAAGAAGAAAAGGAGGAGGGAAGAAAATAAGGGAGAACCCGTCTCTGAGGGTGAGTTCCCTTTAGCTCTTTCCAAACACCATGAGACATAGCCTGGATCTCTAGAAGGGCACTCTAAACTCCACTGTGTGAAGTCAACGGGCTGGGGCTGGTTCTATCCATCGAGTGTCTTGGCTGCCTGGGCGTCCTGACCGTGGAAGCCGAATTTGTGTTCCAAAGATGTCGCCATGGCCCAGGGCCGTTTTTCACTTCTCTTTATCATCACCCCAGGGCTAATTATTACACTGTGTAGAGAGGATCAGTTGAATTCATTTAGCTGTATCTTGGTTCGGACCCTAAACTGGATTTATCAACTTCTTGATGACCAAAGTAATGCCTGGGCCTCAATGGATGAAGGGCTCTCTTCCCAGGGTTCTCAAAAGAACACAGGAGGGGAAAATTCCAACCTTGAAACGTGGGGGGTAGGTTTGAGGGAAGTAGATTTGTGTGCTGGGGGACAAGGCAGGGTTATGGTGGGCAGACAGGACTGGACAGCAAGTCCTTGGCAGTATTAAGAATCATGTAAGGAGCATGCGGAGTCCCTGGGAAATGCAAACAGTCAAGATTCCAGTCTTTCTAGAGGTGCCTTGGAAGAAAGGCCTGGTATTATCCAGAACAAACGTGATCCACTTCTGAAAAACCAGCCATTGAGAGTCTGCAGTGAGCAGTCCCACTCTGGCATGATGGGTGACTTTGAGTCAGGGCTGACTGGGTGACCACCACTCTGAGGGGCAAGTTCCGCAGCGGAAGGTGGAACTTTAGAAGGGTCTCATTACAGCTGTGTGTGTGTGTGTGTGTGTGTGTGTGTGTGCGCGTGTGTGCATGCGCACACGTGTGAACCCTCACCCTAGTCATACCCTCATGCTAGTCATGATCCAAGTCTCAGAGGCCTTCTTACTTATCCAAGGACCCACAGCTAGCAGGTCACAGAGCTGCACTTGAACTTAGTCCGTGCTGACACCAAGCCAATCACAAAGCTTTCTGTCTTGCTCACTGGCATTGAACATGCCTTTGACCCCAGTCATGCTGGTGATTTTGTCTGGTATTTAAAAGACCGGGTTTACCATGGGGAAAGAGTAGGCCTCCGCTGCTGCTGACAGGTGAGCTCAGCATAGGGTCTGGGTTTATCGTGTGCATGCAGTCAACAGAAACAGCTTCATTTATTTTAGGGATGTTAAGGTGAAAGCCTTTGGAGAGCAGACAGCTATTTGGATGAATGTGGTGCTTGGAGCTCTAAGGGAAGACACTAGGGGGAAGGGACCAGACCGAAGGCCACCTAGCATTTAGTAAATTCTTAACCGTGTGGGGACACTTGTATGAAGCAGGATGCCTTTCAGGAACTCACTCTGTGATCAGAAGTGATTGTTTTCCTCCCATTGAGTATGGAAATTCACTGCACTAGGAGGAGGGAGGGATTTCATGGGTTGCACAAAGGAAGGAGAGGGTGAGGGAAGGGGGAGGTGGGAAGGTGGGGGTGGGGGTGTAGCCAACCAGATGGGGAAGGCTGTGGTGTCTAAGACATGGCACACCCCATCTTCCAAATTGTAAGTAAAAACCTCAAAGCACAAATGACAGAATGCATGAGCATAGGAGACACGTGGGGATTGGAGGGCACATAAAGCACTGGAGGAACGGGGTTCAACTAGATCCAGGAAAAGCAAATGACGAAGTGGGCAGGCTCTGTCCTCACAGAGATGGGGAGTTTGGTATAGTTTCCCGTTTGCTGGCTCTGCTGCTGGTGACAAGCTTGTTGGTCTGGCAGGAGCCCTGTCACCATGGCAGGGAGGGAGGATGTCCCACACGGGTAAGAGAAGTCCCTTACTTCTGGCTCATCGGGCCTGATGTGAGCCTCTGACTCTGGGAACCAGATTCGTTAGACCAGGGCCAGTCTGACAGCTTATGGACGGATTCCGCTGTAGAGTCAGCCTGGAGTTTTGCACTGAGCACTGGACTATGAGCCAGGAGGTCTGCTCCCTGCCTCAGTTTCCTCAGTTGTCACCAGTGGAGAGAGTCGACGGTGAAGATCTAAGAAGAGCTTTCCACATCCACAGCTCTGCACATCTTCCTGGAGCTGGGATTTTATTCCATGCTCTGAACGCCGCCATTAATTAAAATTCAATTAACCACCCCAGCTGGGACATCCAAAGCGGAGGCCTGACACTTCTGATTAATTGAGAGTGGCAGGGAAATAAAATGTTGGGGGACGATGTGACAGGCAGCTCCAGCAGCTTGCGTGCCCTTTATTGAACTGACTCACTCAGATTTGGCTTCAGTCCCCAAACGGCTCTTCTTTATTTTCTAGATTTTCCTCAAAAGTGGTATTAACCGGCTCCTGTGTTCCACCTCAGTAGGGACAGTTTTTTGGCAACAAAAGAAGATTTTCCCCCACTGGCTCCCTGCACTTTCTTAGAAACAGCCTGCAAATGGGTGGGCCTCATGAAGTCGTGCTTAACCCTCTAGCATTTCCACAATTGGGAGCTTAAACCCTAGCTTCTTGGGTCCCTTTGTAAGTGCTAAACCCTGGCCTCCTCCAATCCTTATGTGGCAGAATGAGCTGAAATCGAGCTGACTCTTGCCGGTAGTTTTCTGCAGACCTCACCCCTCCCTACTGTTTGACTCCCCAGCTCGCCTCCTCATTTACAGTGCTTGGCTGGCCCTTGGGGGCTCCACAGTTCGTGAGCTTGGGCACTGCCAGGCAGAAGAGCCTATCAGGTGCTGCAGACTCTGCCAGATGCGTCTCTTACCACGGTTGTGTGGGGCGAAGGAGGCCAGGGGCAGGAGAGAGACAGGACTTGACCAGGTTCACACGGTGAGTTAGTGCCTGAGCCATGTCCTGATTCACAACTTAGTACTGCGCCAACCACCACGTGTCTAGGACAGAACCCACACGCTTTCCGAGAGAATTCACTTTTGTGAGAAAACAAGTTCCACCATTCCCCACCCTCCTCCACTCCAATTGTAGTCAAGACGATTCCTGAAGGACATTTTCTTTTTAAGGAAAAGGTTTGTAGCACCTGCTTTTTTTGTGAATTTCTGGAGACGGATATGCGTGTGGTCTCCATAGTAACTTTCCGTGATAAAAACAAAGACTCCTATCTCTGGGGTCTCTCACCCCTGAAGAAAGAGCAAACACTGGTGATCACATCTTTATGAGGGGCGATTATAATGGCATCACGGAGAGCATGGATTCATGTTTCATAAACCGACACTGCTTTAACTTGGGGCTCTCTCATGGCCCAGCTGGGGTACCTCAGGCCAACAACCTACCCTCTGCATCCCAGCTTCCTCCTTGCCCACCTGGGGTAAACGCATGCCCTGTGGGAGTATCAGGAGCCCGAAACTGGATGAGGAACCGGAAGAGCTTCCTGAGCACAGAACTTGTTGCTGTGTTGTTTGGTTCTGTCTCCCAGTGGCCCCACGGTGCACAACACAACACTGCCCAGTCCCGTGCCACCCACACACGTGTTGCTATTTTTGAGCTCATTGCTGTAGCCGATGGGTCTGTGTGTCTCACCGAAGGCCTTCCTCCTTTCTGCTCCCCCTCTGCTTTGCCACCCAGGGCGGCCTTCTCCAGAGACTGGTCTCTTCTGATCACATGGCCCAAACACGGGAGAAGAAGTCTCGCCACTGTTGATCGGAAGGAGCATTCTGGCTATACTTCTTCCCAGACAGAGCTGTCCCATCTTCTGGAATTCCATGCTAGATTCATGTTTCTTGTTTTTGTTTTGTTTTCCCCTCAACACCGTAATTCAAAGACATTAATCTCTCTTTGGTCTTCTGTTTTCATTGTCCAGATTTGGCATGCATATGGAAGTGATTCAGAACACCAGGGGCACCTTAGCCCTCCAAGTGAGATACCTTGGCTCCTAAAAATGATGTATCCATAGTGACAGTCAGCATTTCTAAAGTTTCCAGATTGAGTTTCCTTTGTGTTCCGGGTTCTTCACGGACATTGTGAGGTGGGCAGGGATGAGTACTCTGCCTACTTTGTGGGTCAGAGAGCAAGGTAACAAACGCTCTTTAAATATCACCGCTTGCCATGATCATTAGTCAGGTTCTAGTTTGTGGAGCAGATGAATTGGGGACGTTTGGGTTTAGGAATAGCTTTGAGTGACAAGAATAGATTTCCGTGTCCTCTTAATAACAACACTAAGCATGCATTCTAGTTTGCAGAAAGTCTCGTGAAATCCCTCACTTTTTATTTTCAGACTGAGTATTAAAAAAGCAGAGAGAAATGACTATTATTGATTCGAAAGACAGGCTGAGGTGAGCCCATTTCCTCTTGGTGACATCTTATTAAGCAGTGCCCACCGCCCCTCCCCTGCCCAGTCCCCTGCCAAGTGGTGTCCAGCCAAATGTCATTTTTTCTCTGATCCTCAGACAACCATTTTAATTAAAATTTACAAAAACCCATCCAATAGCATGTGCTTCTGACTTTCCTTAACATTGAGAACCAACTATGGAGAGAGAAAAAAATCCCATCAAAGAAAAGACTGGCAAAAACACACCCAACGATGTTGGTGGCCGGCGGCTAGAGGGCTGTGTCCTGTGCCCTGGTCTACCTTGGATGCCGTGACGAAGTGTTCCCACTTCTGTCCCATGGACTTGTCCTTAAGGATTTTTTTCACTGTGCTCTTGCTTCCACCTGGGTCCCTGAGGGAAAAACAGTTGAGTAGCGTTTTCTGTTTCCAAAACACTTGGTTTATTACAACAAACTGTTGCTCACACCGCCCCCCCCCCCCCCACTGTCTCCCTTAGCACTTGTGAAGGAGGGAGGTGGATAGTTCTCATGGCTGGGCTTAGGGGGGAATGGTCTGAGGAGTGAAAGTCAAGGTTAGGAGTGGTCACTGCTGCTGGGTAGGGCTGGGGGAAGTGGTGTGTGTGTGCGCGCGCACATGCATGTAGGTACATGAGTGTATCCCGGATGTATTTGCATTTTGGACACAGGTCCCCGTCTAGATTCTGGGCAGGTTTGCAATGACTCTGCAGGTTGACTGAAAAGCTTGTCTGAATCCCTGCCGGCCCTGGCCCCACCCTCAGGGACACTTGTGAGTGACACAGAAGAGGCATTACTGGGTTGAGGTGGGATGGGGGTGGGGGGGTGATGTGGGACTCAGAATGCAGCTAGCAGGGGTTTGGGTTTGGTGAGCGAGTGCAGGACTTTCAGTGCATTCTCACCGTTTAACTGCAACAGAACCTCGTGCTGGGGCCGTTGCCGCCCAGGTTTACAGATGGAAAAACAAACCCAGTGGCTCAGTGACTTGGCTGGATGCAGGTTGGCCAGGAGGAATGGAGTTGAAGCTACAGGATGCCTCTCCAGAACCCCTCCCAATTCCAATTTCTCTTTTTCCCTGGAGCACCCCTCCTGAATGAGATCCGCTTTAGCACCACGAGACCAAGACAATCTCCCTCCCCACTGATAGGTAGGACACAGAATCCCTGGCATCTCTGCCGGTGCCAGGCTCCATCCCGTCAGAAATGCAGGGGCTGGAGGGGCTGCCCAGTTATGAATGGGGGCATTTTGGAAAAGAAGGGGGGCCCTGGAATCTGGGGCAGCCTCCTGTTATCAAAGACATGGATATTTCTGCAAGGGAATGGGCCCGGGTTGAACGTAAATGGGATAAATGATAACAAATAGCTTCAGGTCAGGTTTTACAACCAAATTAGTTTGGTTCACGTCAGATGTTGTTGCCAAATAAGTTATAAAACAAACGCGTTTTCAGAGCCTTTTAGATTTTGGGTCTCTATTAATAAGCAGGTAGAGTCCAAGCCACATCCATCCATTTGTTTATTTGTTGGCCTTTCATCTATCATTTCCTGGGTCTTTCTATCTTTATAACTTTTATCTCTGTTGAGAAACTTATTAGCCCATCAATCTGTTCATCTTGTGATCTTGTGTTTTCATCTCTCTGTTGATCAATGTAGCAATCTATTGATCTTTAAATCTTATTTATCTGTCATTCCACTCACTCACCCCCTCGTTCATCTACCCGTCCATCCATCCATCTCCGTCTTTGTCCCCATTTTCTCTGTAGATGTGATCTTAGATGAGTGAGGTCCTTTCAGCCATTTGGATCTTAGTCAGCTTAGATAGGAATGGGAAGATGGACAGGCCACTTCTGAAGGTGGGGACGGGGACAGAGAGCAGGGGAGGATGCCAGGATCTAGGAGGACTAATGTCATCAGGGCACACCTTAGCTAGGACTGGCTTCTTAAGATGGAGCCCGGCTAGCAACAGCACAGGCAGGCCTGGGTGGGGAAGGTACAGCTTCCTCTCCGGTAGGGCCCTGCTGAACTTTACCAGCTCAAGGCTGAGGGTGTGACACCAAGCCTTCTATAGGATCCCATGTTTGAGTACACAGGGAAAAGCCCTCTGAATAATTAACAGTGAAGCTCACTTAATGTGGGCTCTGCCAGCCTCTCCCCCGAGTAATCAAATTAGGGAATATTTAAAATTCATCCGGAGGGAGAAGGAGCCATACCTCAGTCCTCTAAATAATACTTAAACTAGTGGTGCTTTTGAAGTCTGATTTAATGCTCACCAACTGGAAGCTTTAGCTTTTCTGCATAGGAGCATGTCCTTCAAGACCACAGGGCTCTTCGCTTCCTCCCTTTGCTAACGCAGCTCCTGCTGAGCCTCCAGCCTTCTGCTTAAAGTTCAAAAGCAGCCCCCCTTCCCCATGTAAAATTAAATCTGGATCCAGCCAAGCCTTCCACATCTTAAATATGCAGGCTCAAGCGGGAAGATGGAAGTGGGCTGTTAATGCTGACTTAAATGAGCTAAAAAGGCACCCTGGTTCCCACAGATTTTCAAAGCCCCGAGCCCTTGCTCCTGCAAAGTCACGGGGAGAGAATGAAGGGGTCTGGTTAGGCAGAGCCGGGCTCTCTGATGTTTCATGCTCAGTAGCAGGTCAACCAAAAGAGAAGATCAATCGAGGGAGGGAACAAAAGCATTCAGTGCACAGACCCTGTGCCAAGTGGAGGTGGTCTGGAGAAGGTGGCATGCGTGCCACCCCCCAGGTATCTCAGTCCTCTCCTGCTCCTTGAAGTCAGGTGTAGCATGGTGACCATCTTTGCTCAGACTTTTGCTGTGGTCAGATGCTGTGGCATTGGCCCCTGATTCATGGTGACCCTCTGACCGACAGCACAGCCTGCTGCCTGGTCCTGTGCCAGCCCAGTGATACACTTGCCAACGGGTACCGTTGTGATCTCCGGGCTTTTCACCGGAAATAAGGAAATGAAAGAACTGAACAGAGAGCAGGCTGCTGAAGAAGACAAAGTGAAGCGTTTCAAGGGGCTATGCAAACACCTGGAGGGAGAAAGCCAAAGGCAAGAACACGCTCAGCCTGTCTCCAGCCGAAAGAACGGAAGAAAACACGTAAGCCTTGGGTGGAAAGACAAAGTACTGAATGATGCAGGCGGCATCAAAAGGAGATAGAAGATTATTACTGTACCGGAAATAACTGGTCGATGACCCACCATTTCAAAAGGTAGCATACGATCAAGAACCAGTGATATGGAAGGAAGAAGTTCAAGTGGCACCAATGGCATTGGCGAAGAACACGCCCCCAGGCGTGGACACAATACCTGTGGACATGTTTCAACAAGCGGATAGACTAGCGCAGTGCTGGAAACACTCATTCTCCTGTGCCAATAAATTTGGAAGACAGCTACCTGGTTACTGGACAGAAAGAGATCCGTATTTGTGCCTCTTCTACAGGAAGGAGATGCAACAGCAGGCACAAATGATCCACCAGGATAGTTAATACCACGTGCTAATAAAATGTTGCAGAAGAAAACAAAAAAAAACACACAGTCGCAGCGTCCATTGATGGGGAGCTGCCAGAAATTCAAGTCAGATTCTGAAGAGGATGTGGAATGAGGGGTGTGTTAGTCTGGATCCTTCAGAGAAACAAATCCACAGAAACTCATGTATGACAGAGTTTTATATAAAGGGTAAGATCACATCAAGAAAACATCCCAACCCAGTGCTGCCCAAGCCCACAAGTCCAACATTAATCCATTAACGCCCAACACCATTCCACAAAGTCCTCCATCTCACAAAACAGATGCAATGATGCCGACTGCAGGAGGACAGCTGAGTCAGTGAACGTGTAAGCATCTCAGTGCTGGCAGGGGTCTCCACATGGGTGCTCTCCAGCACCAAGGGCTGCATCGGGGTAGGTCCATGTGGCTTCTCCTCAGGGATATCTTGCAGGAAGTGAGCCTTGCCAGCTAAAGCAAGGAACTGACTAAGGCAGCTTCACCCTGGTCCGACCGTCAGAAAGCAAGAGACCTGAGAACTAGAAAGGCGAGGCTCACGGAGCCATTCATCCCCCCCGCCCTTCAGTGTCTATCAGCCAGGTTGGCACAATAAACTAACTACCTCAAGGGGTATTATGGTTGATGTTAGATGAATTTGAACTAAAAGCAGAGGATATCAGACAGATGTGTGTTATCAACCATACAAAGGCATTCGATGGTGTGGATCATAACAAACTGGATAACCTTACAAAGCATGGGAATGCCACAATATGTAATTTTGCTCATCTGGCACGTGTAGGCAGACCAAGTGGTAGTTGTGTGGGTAGCACAAGGGCATCTGGAATCGTTTAAAATCAGGAAAGGTGTGTGCATTGTGGCAGTATTCTCTCACTATTCTTATTTGTATGCTGAGCTGATAATCTGAGAAGATGGACCATATGAAAAAGAATAAGGCATCAGGATCGGCTCCTGAATGACCTACAAGATGCAGATGACACAGCTTTGCTTGCTGAAAGAGAAGAGGACTTGAAACACTTACTGATGATGATCAAGTACTACAACCTTCAGTATGAATGATACCTTTCTGTAAAGAAACCCAAACCTTCCAACTGGACCAACAGACAGTTATCATGATCCATGGAGAAAAGATGGAAGTTGTCACGGGGTTTGTTTTCTTGCATCTACAACCAACCATCATGGAAGTGGCAGTCAGGAAATCAAATGGTGTACTACTGCAGGGGACAAATCTGCGTTGTGAGGATGGCCGTGTTTTGTCCCACCGTCCTTGACCTTGCTATGCATTGGAGTTGACCCAGGGGCACTTGACCCCAACAATCGCAGCAGCAGCATTCGCTATGTTGGGATTGTTGTGAAGATGAGATGCTTTTCCCAATCAAGGTATCTCCATGTGGCGTGGAGGAGGAGCTAATGGGAGGGGGTGGGGTCGATTTGACTTGAACTTTCAGTCCATATTTCCCTTCACGGTAGCTTTCTTTGGATCCTCTTGGCCAGAAATGACGAGAAGAGGGTGTTGACAGCTGTTTCTCTTCCTTTCGCTTGCCCTCGTTGGGCGGGAAGCAAGCAATTTGTTCCTGTTGGCCAATTGAGGGTACCATTCTCAGTGGAAATCAGCACATGTTTTCTCAAATACTCCATGTCTTTCCGAACTCCTGTTGGGGCTGAAATAGTGACTTCCCAGTGTGGAAATTCCGTTGGCAGCATAACCCGTGTGACAGAGCGGCCCTGGAGCCTGTTCTCGCTCATGCGGACCTGGGATCTGTAGATTCCTGCTCCCTCAGTAACATATCCTGTGTGTAGAAATTTCCACAGGATTTTTAGTGCCTGCTTTTTTTGGACATAGATCACAAAATATTTCTCTTGAGGTGCCT